TTCATGGTCTGTTTCACAAAGGGACAGCTATTTCACACCTGAGCTTGGCTGAAAGCTTGAGGCGAGAGTCCCAGAGCTCTTGTTTTGGATGGTTATCGGTCTGAAATAAGAGAGGTATTAGCATATTCTTGTAGATTCAATTACAATTTTTTTGGTATTTCTCCCATTACATTCGCAAGTTAAGGACTTGAGTTCATTTATAAGCACTGATAAGCAGGTTAATAACTGACGCCCCTCCTTGGTTAAACTCCTTTGTCATGTGTCATGGCCCCAGAGACCGATCTCTTCTCTTTATATCCCGCTCTGTTCCCCCAGTTGAGAAGAGCCAATCTGGGTCACTCATTTAGGTAGGAAAAAACACCTCCTTCTCCTCCCTTTTGGCTGGCCATGTGCTAATGAGCTCATTTCAGAGGTCATTGACTCCTTAATTGAAATCAGAGTGCTTTGTGACCCCCAGAGTCACTCTATAATTAGATATGTTCTCCAACCCCTTGATCCCGAGCAGAAATAACTCTCAGAATATGGCCAAACAGGAAAGACCCCTTCAATAGAGCGCAGCTAAATGAAAGAGATTGATAGCCATTTGAGTATTATTGTGTTTGAATGTGTTTAAATAGTTGCTTTTGTTGTCTTTTTAGGGTTCATATAACTCGTTGACATAATTGGCCAACATAGCTCACACTTCCTTCTTCACAAACTTCTTTTTAGACCTTTTTAGTCGATCTATCTCGGTTTGTTCTCGACCTACTTCTCTTCGATATCGAGTGCAGCGCAAGCCCTGAGGTCTTCATATCACTTAATGCGTAAGTTTCAGCCAGTGTGCCGACTAGATTGCCTGATAGCACACATCCAGGTGTCTATTTAATGTGTGCGTTTTCATCTGGAAGAGGTGATCTCTAAAATGTTACCTGTTCTTCCAGATGAAAAAAGGAAATTTATTTTTAGATGTTAATGATGTAGAATGTAAATCTGCTCTTTTAAGAACATTTATCAGATGTAATGTGTTGCTTTCCAGAGGAAGTGCTCTTTAATAGATGTCTTGGAGATATGTACTAGTGCTTCCAAGTCAAATTAATAGTAGGGCTGTCAAGCAATTCAAAATTGTAATCTAATTCATTACATGATGTGCCGATTAATTAGGAATCATCACAAATTATAATCGCACACCAAATTCGGCTGAGAAGTTATCCCCGAAAGATCATTTAAAGTCATTGTTGTGGAAAATGAGAAAAGCATCAAATAGACATTACAAAAAGTAGCTTTGGAAAGAAATATTTTATTTTATTCAACATGGAATTTAGTACACATGAACTTTTAGGGTTCAACGGCCATGATTTTTTTCAGAAGTTGCATCTGAATTGGTATTTAGATATATTTGCAGACTTTTTGTTGCAGGCTCAAAGGGTATTAAAGCGACAGGTCACCCAAAAATGCAAATTCTGTCATCATTTACTCGTGTAGTTTCAAACCTGTATGAGTTTCCTTCTTGTGTAGGACATAAAAGAAGATAATTTCTGAGAAATGTCTCAGTATTTTTTTTTTACCAGTGGTAACCAAAAGTTTGGTAACCAACAGTCTTCAGCATATCCTCTTTTAGGTTCCACAAAAGAAAGTCAGTCATACAGTTTTGTAATGACGTAAGGGTGAGTAAATGATGACAGAATTCTCATTTGTGGGTGAACTATCCCTTTAATGTTTGTTTTTTTATTAATATAGAAATATGATATATTTTTTTATTGAATGATTCTCCCTAAACTAAATTAGACTAAACTAAAACTGCCTGTATGTGGCAGTAAATTCATTCATTAGCTTCATTCAAACTATTGATTCATGCAGGAATTAAGTAAATGGCTCTCTTTATGAATGGGCCATTGGATCATTGGTTCACTCGATTGATTCGCTCAAAACCCGGATTCATTCAGAAACGAAACACCACTGTGTTGCTCGGAGACGCACAACTGTCCAGCTCTGGCTTTATTGGTAATATTTTTGTTGGCAAAATTGAGCAAAAACAGACAATATTTTGTCTAAAATACAACACAATATTAACTTATTTATTGAACTATTGTATAAAATCAATATCACATTTGCACTCGTGCTATTCGGAACAAAAATATCACTCGTGTGATATCACGCTCGTTACTTGTGTCATATTGCGTAACTATATCATATTATATTTACATATGAGACAAAATGCCCTGCATCATGTTAGTCACCAATCAATTTAAGATGGGCGGGTGCGTTAAAAGCATTGTTTTTTCCACAAATAATTAATCAAATTAATGACAGCCCTAATTAATAGTTACATTTTTAGGAAAGCTTGGTTTTATGCGTTGCTTCTTTGTAAAAGAATTACAAAATTGCTGTTGTCGTGACATTCAGCGGACATCTTGTTTTTTCGTTTGGCTTGATAATGCGACACCATTTTTTCTGTACAAGATAGACTATAGAAGATAAAATAAATAAAAGACCAATCACAATTCAGTATGTAAATGAGTGCAGGAAAGAAGACCAGTCAGTGTTCAGTATGGACATATTACATTTGCATCATCGCTGTAGGGTAGATTTTAGGTAGTGAACAAAGTCAGTCAAATTTTCAATGTAAATGGTTAAAAAAAACTGTTTTTGGACCCCATTGACGTCCATTATATAGAGAAAAACATTCATTTGCGTTTAGAAGAAAGTAAGTCATACAGGTTTGGAGTGACATGAGGGAGACTGAATGAATACTGAGTTTTAATTTTAGGACGAACTGTTCCTTTAAGTATAATGTTTACCAAACTCGCAAGCAGAGCTAAGATGGAAATTATCTACAAAGTTTGAATGTAGTCTGTGCGTTTAGTGCTTCGGATCATTTCCAGAAGACTATAAAACACATAAAAACAGAAGAAAAAGATACCTTGCAAGGTGTCGTGGCAATGCTAATGCTACTGAGAGCTTTTCCCAGCGCTAGGCTAATTAGCACATATATTGCATTGGGTAAATGGGGGGGAAGGAAATTGCTTTGTCACATTTCCACACAGCAGATTGTGTTTGTTGCACATTCTCACACATTTCCCAGTCTTGTTTAATTTCCAGTGTGGTTTAAGCATGTAATAAAAAGACAAGAGACAAGGCGCAAAAAAAAAAAAACGCAGTCCAATATGAGGAGGACTCGCTCAACAAGGTGTTATTTTGTTGTTAGTTTTTTATATTGGTTTGACATCATGCTGTGTGTGTTGGTCATAACAGGAATTTTCTAGTTTTGTTCAGCCGTGTCACATATCTAGGTGTTAATTTGTATGGTCCTCTTTTGTAAGGAATATCAAAGTCGCCTAAAATAGTTCAGCTTTACCGTAGTGTGGCTGAAGAAGCCAATTATTGTACCGAGTTACTTTCCTGCACTATATAACAAAGTTAGCCCACACAAATGACCCAAAAGCCATTTTTAGGGTTTCACAGCAGCAGTGCTACTGAAATAGTTCCTTCATCTGATGTTACTGACTGCCTGCACTCAGATACTTGCTCTGTACCGTTGACTTTGTGGAGAATTTCACATCGAGTTTTGGCACAAATTGTGTCTTTCTGTTCAGATGCTGCCTACGAGCGCGCACGGACATAAACACATGCGTGCTCACACTTAAAGCAACTGCCAAGATGTAATTAGCTGGTAACATCTAACACGTCTCACCTACACACTCCTACTCATGCAAACAAACCAAGCAACCCACAGCTCAGCAGATTTACAGCATTATCTAAACATACAGAGATGGTGGTGTGAGAACAGATGCCCACTCATGCCCATCACACACACACGCACGCACTCATACACTTGTGTTTAGCGTACGGTTACACACAGAGCTTTAAAACACCAGTATACCCTGCAGTGATCCGTGGCCATAGTGGATCTAGTGTGTATATATATATGTCAGGGGTCTCAAACATTTCTCAAACATAGAGTAATTATCAGAGCTGTACTATAATTTTATAGCTCTATATTCTTATGTGTCTGTTTCTCTAAAGAAATCTTAGGAGACACACATGTGTACTTGAGCGATAATCAAGAGCTCTTGAGCTACGAACTGACCTTGGTTTCTTTTGATTTAACTACACTTGAAGGATAAATGATATTGGAGGATTATCCTTTTTCTTTTTGTTCTCTCCTTTTGTCTTAGTTTATATTCCCTTTAACTGCGTCATTGATATTTGGTCCTCTTAATGCAGGCATATTTGGCAATATACCAGTGTGTGTGTGTGTGTGTGTGTGAAGAGAATGAATGAAATAAAATAGGATGAAAGGATACTGGTAAGAAAAAAAAAAACTAGAGAAAGTGACTGTAAGAGAGATTCAGGTGTGTGTGTGTGTGTGTGTGTGTGTCTGTGTGTGTGATATTTGGATGTTTTTTTAGACATGGTGTACTTTTCAAAGAATACCACGGTAATACCATGGAATTGCCGTTATACATATCCAAAAGTACTTTGACCATGGTAAATGTTTAAGAATACCATGATGTATGTCCAGAATATGTGATTTTTCATAGTACATATGCAACACATGTTTCATAGTACATTTACTTTGGTAAAACTATGGTATTTTGTTAAGTACATGTTCACAAGAGATTATGCAATTGCACATGTTCGACAAAACATGGCATTACCGTCTGTTACTAAGTCCAAAGCCAGATTTAGGACATATATTTTGAGACAGTTTACTTAGAAGAATACCGTGGTATTCATTAAAATGAACATAGTGCAAGTACAAAAACTTAGACTAGGCGAAATAATAAAAAGTATGAGAAAAAACTGTTATTACCACAGTACGTTTTGGCAAGTGTTAGAAAAGAAAAGTACAATTAAAACATCTCTCCCACTTTTCTGAATAGCATTTTCACTCCCGAATCTCTCTTATAGTCACTTTCTCTAGTTTCTTTCTTTTTTTTCTTCTTACCAGTATCCTTTCATCCTATTTGATTAATCTCATTCATTCTCTTCAAAGTACTTAAAGCACGAGGATATCTTACCTGCAGCTCGGTCTCACTCAGGATGTGTTTCTCTCTCTTTCTCTCCGTCGGTGTGTGTGTGTGTGTGTTTCCCGCTTGCGTGTCTTTGCTGTGTGTGTGTGTGTTAGGCGGTGTTTGACTTCAGCAGCAGCGGACGCTTGGAGCTCAGTCTGAAGGCTGGAGACGTGATCTTCCTCTTGCGGAGAGTCAACGCTGACTGGCTGGAGGTGGGAGAGAGATGGAGAGAGAGAAGGATAACAGGATAGAAGCAGAGAGAAAGGTAGAAGAGGATAGGTAGGCAGGAGGAGAGGAGAGAGAGAGGGAGAGGGAGGAGGGTTTGTAAGATAAGGGAGGGAGAGAGAAAAAGGATGAAGCAATGTGACCACATTTATGTTTGGAGGTATTTGTGAGTAAGTGTGATTGTAGCACACAAGGGCCAGATTTACTAACAGCTTGCGCCGACGCAAACCCTCTTTTGGCGTTAAAAACTACTGTCAGGATTTACTAAAGACACGCAGTGAAAAATTAGCGCTGAAAAGGCTTGACGGTTATTTTTGCGGCTGATCTTATTGCAAATGCATTTGTAGGAGTTTCCCTTTCAGACGCAGGAAAGTATTTAAACCAATCATGCAAGGGGAATTTACTAAGGTTTGCGCTAGTCAATTTACTGTTTTTTGCGCTAATATGTTAACGTCCAAACAAGCACGTCTTAAATCAGATGCTAATTTGCGTTGCTCTTGGTAGATTGTGTTGGTCATTATGGAAATGATCCGGCTGCGTCTGTGTTCTTTAATTTGCACGTCATCAGGAGATCACTTGAAGAACTTTCCACTCCCATCGGCGCTTTTATAGGATTGCGCTCTCACGCTAATGTACCCTGATTAGTAACTCTGGCCCATAGATACGTGTATACGTGTGATGTCTACACTGAAAATATGTTGATCTTAAAATGTGCTTTTTGTGGTAACATCTAAATTAATTCATTTTAAGTCAAAAATATAATTTAACATCACCGAATCAACCATAAACACATTTTGTTACACCAACAAAACTAAATGTAAGTGTTATATCAGGTAAAGAGCTCCTTAAAGTCAGCATGAAACAGAAATTGTGAAAGCGATAGTCTTTTTTCCCCCCTATTGTGATGTTTATTTGGTATATTATGTATATTATGCCCTGCCCTTCAGAGACATAAAAATGTTCATTGTATATTGTATTCAAAGGGTTATTTTATTGTCTTTATAATATGAGATTATCGTCATCACATTTATTGAATGCTTTAACCTCATTTTAATTATTATTCTTTTTCTTTTTTCTTTTTCTTTTTTTTACACAAGGCAGATGCTTTTATTCAAAGCAACTTACTTTGTATTAAAGGTAGCCTGGGAAAACCCAGACAACTTCCGGCAAATTTAGATTTGCTCTGAAAGTTAGTCTGGCAAAGAGCTCATTCAAGCCCATTGAGTACAATTAAGGCACAATTAATTGCTCATTGGTGCTCATTCGAGGCACCAATCAGAGACGTTGGGGCGGGCTTTACATGATGACGACAGCGCTGGGATTTTGAAGCAGATTTTGTAGCCTACATTACAAAGATGGATGCCGCCGTTGAACATCACTCGTTCGAATCAGCTATCGCGTCTGTTTTAAGCGATTTGAACGTTTCCTTTTTGTTAAAAACCGAGCAAAGAACAACACTCGGAGATGTTTCTCCGCCGCTCTGCATACGTCATCTCCTTCATCGCTCTGATTGGGTTTAGGTCTATCCGCGACGTCCGTTGGTGACGCCCCTCTGGAAATGATTTGTCTATGACGCTTTGCCAGACCATAACTCAGTTACAACTCAGAATGGTCTGGTTTTAACCAGGCTACATTAAAGGTGTAATCAGTTCATAAATTCCCTGAAGATTATGACCTTGAACTCTACTGTGAGCTATAGGAATGTCCTTTATGTAACATAAACACAAATAAGTAAATGAGTAAAACACATTAATATGACATGGCCAGTGTGTTTTACATACATTTCATACTCGCATATGACTTTTAATAGGCCCATCTGGATTTCATTGGAAAATTTGCCATAAAAAGGTTAATAAAAGAGTTTTCGACAATTTCAGTTATCAATATCAAAATATTTAAAAGTAAACAATACATTGATATTACACATATCAAAGCGTCAACGTCTATCCGAACAAAAATGTGTGTCCACTTTACATACTAATACCTTCAAACACACACCTCTCTGGGTGGGGATACGGCATCAGGAGAGCATGATGGATGGAGGGATTCACTAAAGAAAGGGAGAAGGGAAAACATTTTAAGGATAAAGTGATTGAGGGACGGAACACTAAAAAGATTCACTTATGAACGAAAGATGATGGTGGGAGAGAAGGAAGGACATGTATTAGAGTGTGTGTGTGAAGGAGTGGGACATTGAGAGTGAGCTGGTCTGATCTGATATGAACAGACACACACTCACACATACTTTTTATGAGTTAGATATCTGCAATCTTTCGGCCCGTGACAATAAAGGAGAAAGATATGACCTGAATTGAATTGCAGAGAGAGAGAGAGAAAATTGGATATTGCATAGACATGCAATGGACCCTCAAATAACATTATCGAGATTAGAGTGGGTGAAAGAGAAAGATCAGGCTGTAACTCGCTAGTTCATTGCCACTGAAACTCTTTTTTTTTTTTTTTGCTTGAATGCACTTAATGTGTCTGAAGATCAGGGGCGTAGCAATCATTATTCCTCTCCCTTCTGTGGACATTAATGCCCTGCTTTATTGTGTCCCCTCCACTTATCCTATCAGCTCTCCCCACTATACAGATACAAGAACCCATGCCACTGAAACACTTCAGCTCTGAGATGATAGATAGATAGATAGATAGATAGATAGATAGATAGATAGATAGATAGATAGATAGATAGATAGATAGATAGATAGATAGATAGATAGATAGATAGATAGATAGATAGATAGATAGATAGATAGATAGATAGATAGATAGATAGATAGATAGATAGATGATAGATAGATAGATAGTGTAGTCTTCATCTGCTTATACCGTGTGTCCTCTCTGTAGGGCACAGTGAGGGACAAAACCGGAATCTTTCCCGAGTCGTTCGTGAATATCATTAAAGCTCTTCCCGAGAGTGACTCTGACGAGGAGGGCGGAGCTTCCAGGAATGGGAAGCGTGCTCAGGGTTCCTACAGCTGCCTGCGCTGCTACCTCCTGCAGCCAGAGGGCATCGAAACAAGGTCAGAGACTCCTGAAGAGAGCATGCGCATCTAAACATATTATCTTTTTAACCAATAATTAACCACTGTCACGCCTAGCAACTATATTGCAAAACCCCGGCAACCACCCTAGCTTTTGAATATGCATATTCTCCTGCTAGTGATGCTTCTGAATGTGTATTTATTATTGTCTGTTGTAGGGACATCTGCGTTGAGGAAGATCTCTCGATTCGACCGTCTCATGAAGATCTGCTCTCCCGAATGAGGTACCTTTATCCCTGTCCCAATCAGGTTCTCCTGCTTGACATACAATGCGTCCTGAATAAAAGAAAGCCTCATTACTTAAATATTCTGCCATTTAATACTGTCAAACAACCTAATCAGGTTATGTTTGCATTTATTTCCTCACACCCATCATTGGCATCTTTAATTTTGTTGTTCTTTTCACTGTGTGTGAGGAGAGCTGGTGTCTCTCTTGAATATTCACACCATGTTTCGTGCCTTATTTCAAATAGGGGGTGAAAAAGATGCAGTAGAAAAGAAAGAAACAAGAGAAAAACATCTAGGAGGGAAAGACACAGTATTTTAAAGTGTAATCATTAAGAATGACTTCTCAAATTTCCCACCGAGAGAACATCTAGCAAAAATCTCGGTTTCAATTTTTTTTGATGGTCCCTTTAATACATTCTATTTACTATAAGTAACTTTGTAACTACATTTCAACTAACTCTCATTAGATTATTAGCTTAATATCTGCTAACTCTTTATTGTGATGCTCCTTCAACAGACATTCCACTCACTATAATTAACTTTCCAACTACATGTCAACTTATTAACCTGAACCCTAACCCTAACCTAACAGTCTAGTCTACTAATACTCTAATGACTGGTTGCTGACATGCAGTTTCAAAGTTACTTATAGTTATTCGCAGGGCTTGACATTTACTTGTTTGCTCACCAGCCACTGTGGTTAGTGGTTTTCCAAAGTAAAAAACCCACACCGCATTTTCACTGGCCACAATTTTGTGACATTGATACAATTATGGAATTACTTTTGTGCCAATAATAATGAACGTAACTTTTCAAGAAACTAATGTAAATATGATTTGAAACTGAATATCTTTGAAACTGGAAAAAAATAAAATCGCAGGCAATCTTCGTGACTTTGTTTTTTAAAGGGATACTCCACTTTTTTTGGAAATAGGCTTATTTTACAACTCCCCCAGAGTTAAACTGTTCAGTTTTACCGTTTTTGAATCCATTCAGCCGATCTCTGGTTCTGGCGGCACCACTTTTAGTGGTACTTTTAGCCACTTTTTTAATAATCAAGAAACTTTACTGCCGTACCATGAGTGCAGCAGGCGTAATGATATGACGCAGCGTCTGAAAATAGGCCACCTTCCGTCAACACAACGGAACTATTTTCAGGCGCTGCGTCATATCATTACGCCTGCTGCTCTCATGGTACGGCATTGAAGTTTCTTGATTATTACGCAGGAATGAGAGTATAGTTCCTAGCCATATCAGCCTAGAAAATCGCAACTTTACATTTTCCGTCGGTCTTAGTGCACGATGTAACTACAGAAGAGTCAAGTTTTAAATAGGAAAAATATCGAAACTCTTTGGTCATTTTTTTTTTTGAGAAATGCTAATGGTCTTGTCCACTTCAAAGAAGAATGCTAAGCTATGCTAAAAGTGGTGCCGCCAGAACCAGAGATCGGCTGAATGGATTCAAAAACGGTAAAACTCAACAGTTTAACTCTGGGGGAGTTGTAAAATGAGCCTATTTCCAAAAAAAGTGGAGTATCCCTTTAATACACTGCATGTTTTGCTAACTGTTTTCTCATCTTTCTTTCGCTGATCTGAACTAACAAACACGCTTCCAGAGTTTTCATGTACACTTTTATGCCCGTTCACGCTCTGATTAGTAGAATGTCTAAAGTGGACCGTCAAAC